GGGTTTGGCTTTGGAAGTGTTGTTTGGGCCCTGGGACCACTAAGTGGAGACATCCCCTTTGTAGAGGGATGTAAATGTCTGAAACTTAGGAGAGAAACATGGGCTGGGGATAAATATCTGGCTATTATTCAACTTCCAAGTCCAAGGTGATTGGGTTGGGTGAGTTACTGATGTGAAACTGAGTCCCTCTAAAACCAAGTTCCCCTGCCAGGTTTATGATTAATCTCTCTATCCAAAATTTTACTCCCTTTCTTGTCCCCTCTGACCTCAGTCCTGTGCTAACTGAACACGAATCAACCAGGGTCAGGTGACTAAAATTCCTGTTGTTGATAATGTCATTAATGTGCTAAAATTGCTGTTACAGGTATCATCCTTAATGTACAAACTTAGGCTGTTTCTCAGGGCAAGAGGAACTAACAGACTCCCAGCCATGGACCACCTGACCAGAGAGTCATAAACCAGAGACATCCTGGCTCCTGAATCCACAGTGAAGCAATGTCCCAGATGATGATTAATCCCAGCTTCTTTGTTCTTTCCTTTTAAAAACCTCTCACTCAAAGACCAAGTGGGAGTGGATCTGAGGCTTGTCTCCCACTCCCTTGCTTGGCGCCCTGTAATAAACGCTGTACTTGCCTTCACCACAGCCTGGTATCAGCAAGTTGGCTTTGCTGTCCGTTGGGTGAGTGGACCCCATTTTGGTTCAGTAACAATGGAGGATGAGAGTGAAAAGGCAAGAGGCTCCAGCCCAGTGCTGAGATAGGGGCTGACTCTCCACATCCTAGAGGAAGGACTGAGGGTGGTCAGCTCAACCAGGACAGCAGACTTTTCTGGTTGTCTTCAATGTGCATGACTGTGCTCATGCACAGTCGGATCCTTGGGAACCATCTGGAAAGTCTGTCCTTTCTGGTGTGATCCAGTTCTACATAAGATGACACTGATAATATGCATTCTGTTCTCAGGACTGTGAGTAGTCAGGAGCTAATGTATGCACTGGGCTCATTATGCAAAGAACCTGTCCTGTGGCACAGACAGTGCTCTCTGATCCTTTGCTCCTGCCTCTCCTCTGCTAGGATTCTGGAATTGTCTGCAGCTGCCAACACACAGCCCTTGTCTTCTTCCTCCAGGTATCTGAAAGCCTGTATGTGAGCATCTCTTGAAAACAATGAACTTAATTGCCAGATTTGTCTTGAAACAATTCTGGCTATAAGAATGCTCAATTTAAGTCAATTTCTATTTCTCAATAAGAAAAGCTAGGAAAGAGAAAGCATTGTGCTGGGGACTCAGGAGATGGACGCTGACGGACTTAAGGACAAGTCTCTCTCTGAATTTCTGTAAAATGAGGGTGTTGAGCTGGACGAGCTGTCTAGACCCATCCCAGACATGCTGGGTATATGATTCTAGCCAACATGAACAGATCAGGGCATACTAGTGCATGAGTCAGGAAGATTAAAATATGGCTCAAAACAAGGAGTTAAAATGGTAATTTTCAAGATCTTATGTATTTGTTCACTAAATATGTATGGAATACCCAGTACAGATCAGGCAGTGGCCTAGCTGCCGGTGAGGAAACATGCTCCAAGCGTCCTGTAAGTAAGAGTCTGGGGGGGGGGGGGCGCCACTGAGGCAGTAGCTGCACAGTGTGAGGGAGATGGAGGCAGGGAGGTCGGAAAGGGAGCTGTTCCAGTGGTCCCGGCTCCCTCACCTAGCTGACAACTTTCCCTAAGGATGTGCCTGCTCCACCTCTACCTCCATAAGACAATCTGCTGAGTCGCCCAGAGGATGTGGTGCACCTCGCTTTGGAAGGAGCACCCATCCTGAGAGGGGATGTGCTCATCCTTCCCGGCGGCGGGGCGAGCTTTCCCAGTGTCAGTGCACATTGATGCCTCAACTTGTGCCTGAACTATTTTTAACCGGCTGTCGCCATGGCAGCGTGAGAACCGCTGGGAAAGATGTGGCCTTTCTGACAGCATTCAAGATGCTGGCTGCCCTCTCATCTCGCTTAATCCCCTGCGTGCCAGAGCCGAGATAATCTATATCAAATCCCTGCCTTTGCTGGCAGAGCTAGAGCCCAGCCACCTCTCTGTGCTTTCTCATCTGCAAAGTAGGGACTTAAATAAAAAGAAAACAAAAACAAACAAAACACCTCCCTCCGTGGGTCTGCGGTGGAACTCCAATTAGGTTGTTAATGCTTGAAAGCCCTCTGCATGGCCCATGTTCATTTCTGCGGCCCACGTCTTAATGGCAACACCAACCCCGCTTCTGCCCTTCACCTCTGCTTTATGGGCTGATGCCCGTTAGCCTTCTATGAGTGTCTGTGAAGTCTGGAAACGTAGGCAGTGCACTCCAAAATTTCTAGCTAAAACCAGAAAATGGCCACGTAGGCAACGGCTGGGGCGTGGAGTGGCGTCTGAACGTGGCCTCTCTCCCACGTAGTTACAAACAGAACTGCAGCAGATGGGGTGTGGCTGGGATGCTGGCAGCCAGGGAGAGGTTAGCACCTGTCTTGGCAGGAATGATGTCTTTCTGGAGAAAAGCTGCCACTGAGGGGCAGGAGTGGTTCCTGGGGGCACAAGCCTAGGACGGAGCGGCCGCCTGCATGGTGTCGTGGAGAGCCAGCTGGCCTGGAAGCCTGAGCTCAGGGTCCTGAGCCCTGCTGAGGGGCCCTGGGGAGGCTTCGGATGTGGTCTTGGTTCTGCAAAGAGCCTGAGAAGCATGGTCCCCATCGAGGGTAGGAGCACATCCGGAGGGAGCACAACTTGATTTCTCCTCCGGGGGCGCCCGGGGAAAACTGGAGCGACCTTCTAATGGGAGACGCCAAGACCCTGTGTCAGGGTGCCCTCAGGCCATAGCAGTTTTGCTTAAGACAGGCGGCAGCAATCCCCAGGGAAAATGATCCAGACCTTTGCTGGTGCTAGGCAGTAGCTGGAACATTCAGGAAGCCAAGGAGACATCCTGTGGGCTCTGTCTGTGCTGCTGAGAGACTGACTCATCCATTCCTCCTTTGTCCTCCCTCCCCATCCCCCAAGGTTATCCATAAAGGCTGGACTTGAGCAACAGGGGTCTGATCTATGCCGTCATCCTAGTCTCCTCTCCAGGCTTGTTTTAAAAAATAACTTCTATTTTTTCTCATAACACAAGTAACTGACCCTTTGTAGGAGACTTAGAAATGTAGAAAAGCACAAAGAAAAAGAACCAGCTATAATCCAATCACTCAGAGATAACGGATCTTCATATCATGGTATCTGGTCTTTGCTGCATGAATATGTAATAGTATGCATGCACATACATACATCTATTTATAGAAATGAATATTTATGCAATGTGTAATTGTTTTTAGAAAAAAAAGGTGTCAAAGGTGGTTGAGAGCTCAGACTCTGGAGTCAGGCTGCCTGGGTTCTAATCCTGGCTGTGTTCCATGCTGGCTGCGTGGTCTTGACTGTAACTTCTCTGTGCTTTAGTGTCTTTATCTGTAAACTGCCAAATCGGTTGATGAAAATAGTATCTCATTATTGCCTGAATGTGAAGTTCTTTCTTGGTCACTCGTGTTTCTTGGAATGTGTTGTTCCCACCCCCTGTCCTTTGGGAGGTATGCCTCACGCTTTTCTGGCGTGTGAGGGTGCTGTGTATCCCTGCCATTCCCCAGCTTGGGGCTCTGGACCCCAGCCAATCTGCCTCCTTAGCCTCTGATTATTCACCATCTTTGCTGTCTCTCCGGCTTCTCCCTCTGTGTTGGTTCCTTTCCACCAATCAATACAATCAATTAAAGGGTTGATTTCAAAACATGCTCAAGTCTCTCCCGTTTTAAACAAATCAGCAAAAACTCTTGCTGAATGCTGTGACCTCCTTCCCTTGGCAACCCAACTCCCTAAGAGTTGTCTAGACCCCTCATCTAAGTTCCTCATCCCCCTTTCTCAACCTCCGTCTGGTTGCTGTCCCACCTCCCACCCAGACTGCTTGGGACCAGCTTACCAATGGCCTCCTCGTTGCCAGATCCACTAGGCACTTCCGTCTTTCTTCTCACTGGGCCTCACCAGTGCATTTGGCACTATCACCTGCTCCCTCTTTCCCTTGTCTTCCTGGACCACACACTCCCGCTTCCTGTCTCCCTCCCTTCTCCTCCCCTCTGCTCATTCCTTACCGGTCGCCTTCACACGTTTCTCTCCTCGAATGTGCTTTTTCTCAGCCTTCCCTGCTTCTTCCTTCTGCTCTCTGAGACCCTGACTGAACTCACCCCACCCGTATCTTCACTACTTTGTAGATGTGGACAATTCCCAAATCTCTCTCCTAATTCAGACGGCTTTCCTGAGCTGCTGACCCACATAGCCAACTGGACTCCTCCATTAAGACACCCCCTAGAGCCATAAAATCGATGAGTCTCAGATAAAATGAAACACTTTCCCTACAGGTACAGCCCTCGCCTTTGGTCTCTATCTTTGGAAAGGGTCAGACTCATATCCCTATTAAAGTGTCAGTGACTCATTTCAAAAGAAATCAAAGCAGTGTTACATTAATGGATGAATTTTTGGAAGAAGAAGATGGAAGCAGGGCAGGGGCATCTGATGTCACTAAAATCACAGACGCTGCTGTGGTTTGTATTCTGGTCCTGTAAGAGGCAGACCCTGATGCTTGACAGACAATCAACACTTATCAGTACTAAATGAAAGGAGGCTCATGGGACCAAGAGCAATCACTTTTCAGAAAGTGCTTTAGCCAGAAGGGCTCTCAAAGATCATCTGGTCCAACTGCAGCCCAGAGAGGAGTCTGTGGTCCTCAGCACACATCTAGCGATGCGGAGAAGCACCCTCAGACCTCTCCACTTCCCCGTGCGGTTTCTCCGAGGGCCACTAGGCAGGGCCAGCAAACTTACCCCTGCAATGAGCTGAGAGTCTTGGGCGCAGGTAAAGGCTTTGGACCGGACACTGGTTTCCCTCCCCCTCCCTATCCTAGGCACCCCTGGAAAGGCGTGGGAGCTCCACATTGCTCGCAGAGGATTTTCTTACCTCTGGCTGGAGTCCCAGGCCCTGAAGTCACAGGAAGGCATGTGCAGAAGTAGGTATTGACATCCTAGGGAGGGAAATGCTCTCTTTAAAAAAAAAATCACTTATTATAGAAAAATTGAAGCATACTAGGACAAGAGACAACGGTCCAACAGTACAAGATGAATCCCCGCGCATCCAGTACCCAACTTCAGCTCAGTCCTGTCACAGATACGTTTCCTTCCCCCAGTGCCTCTTTGTTTGTTTGGCTGGTTTGGTTTGGTTCTAGATCATTTTAAAGCAGGGTTTCTCAAATTTTTCTGGTCTCAGGACCCCCTGGCACTTTCAGAAAATATTGGGGACCACCAAAGGCTTTTGTTTATGTGAGTTAGCTATTGAAACAGAGAAACTTTAAAATATTTACTTCCGAATTCATTTAAAATTCGTAACACACTTATTACATGTTAACATGTAATGCTTTAACATGACATACTTTTTAATGAAAAACAACTATTTTCAAAAAAAAAAACCTAGCAAGAAGAGTGGCATTGTTTTACATTTTTACAAATCTCTCCACGGTCTGGTTAGTAGGAGACAGCTGGACTGGAGTGTTGGTAGAAGGTGGCTGAGTTCTGTGTCTGCTTCTGCATTCAGTGGATTAGAATTTGTTGTTCGGTTGAAATACAAGAAGAAAACCTGACCTTGCACAGATACGTAGTTGGAAACGAAAGGCATATTTCAATAGTCTTTTCAGATATTTGTGGATATTCTTCTTTGATACTATAGTGAGCCTAATAAATCCTGATTTCTTAAATTTTAGTTGCACTGTCGAATCTGAAATTATCTCGATGAGCTTTTTGTAATCTGTTACATTAAAATCCACTGTCCTCTCTTGCACTTTGAGTGGATTTTTTTAACACTCATAGATGATTTTGTTCCATCAGGTCTTAGTTATTTGGAAAATGTTGGTTGACTAAGTTATGTAGACTTTTCCAAATGTTTAATGACATATTTCATTACACAGTATCAAGAAATTGCATTTGTTAATACCATCACCCATGTCATCAGGTTGTCTTTACATTCTGACAAGTTGGCAGATACAGGTTTTCTTATATTCTAATTTTCACTCAGAAGTTCAAATTTTGTGATTGGCAACAAAATTTGTCCATTATTTCACTTAATGATACTTGACTTCATTCATCTTTGGGAAAACGTCTGTTGAATACCCAGTAGAGTTAAGTCTGAATTGACTGTAATTCGCGTGTTATTCTTTCAGGTAAACATCATGCCCCACGAGAAAGCAGCTAGTTTAGCTCAGAACTCAGATAATACCACAAGGCTGCTTCCTTGAGACAACTGTCATCCTCTGAGATGCTGCAGAAGTGCTTTATGGGTCCTTCTTATTTTGTCACATGGAATATTAAAAAGATGTATTCTGGTGGGGGACGTGGGAATAGCTCAGTGGTAGAGCACATGCTTAGCATACATGAGGGTCTGGCTTCAATCCTCAGTACCTCTATTAAAAATTAAAAAAAATTAAACAAAGAAACAATTAAAAAAAGATGTATTCTAAAAGGTCAAGATTGATCAGAATTAACAGTTTTTATTGCTTTATACAGTAAGTTCTTCAGTGAAATTGGCTTTTAAGAGACTCGTGACTATGTGGCAGTCAAGAACGCAGTGACTAGGCCAGTTTGGTGCCACTGCCTTGATACGAGCGGAAGCACCAGCAGTTTCAGCCACCATTGTTTTTGCACCGTCACTGCAAATGTCAAAGCAGTGAAAAAAGATAAATAACATCTCAATATTGGTTTTTATTATTATAAACAGTTTTATTTTTATTCATTTATTTATTTTTATTTTGGTAGGGGGAAGGTAAATGAGGCTTATTTTTAGAGGAGGTACTGGGGATTGAACCCAGTGCGTGCTAAGCATGCGCTCTACCACTGGAGCTACACCCTCCCCCTCTTAATATTGTTTTAAAAACAGTTTTGATTCTGCACACTCCTGAGTGAGTCTCAGGAATCACCCTCAAGGGTTTACGGGCCTCACTTGGAGAACTGCAGTTTTTAAGCCAATTCCAGACATCCTAACATTTACCTGTAAATAATTAATATGTATCCCTTTTAAAATCTATGTAACAAACATAGACTTAGAAAATTAACCTCAACACTAATATCACATGTAAAACAATTACTCATATTTCTTAACATTGTCTAATATCCAGTCTGTGCCCAAATTTCCCCTAATGTCTCAAAATTTTTTGACAGTTGCTTTGTTTGAATCAGCATCCACATCACATCCACATGTTGCAATTTTGGCTATGTCTCTAAAAAAAAATCTTATTTTAGTGTCCCTTTCTCCCTCCATTTTTTTTCCTTTCCACTTTGTTGTTGTTGAAGTACTGGGATCATCTGTGTTATACAATTTCCAGCTTTCTGGTTTTGGCTGCTAGCATGCTTGTGTCATCGTTTAACATGGTGTTTGGTCTCTCATATTTCCTGTAAATACCTTAGATCTAGAGCAGGGTTTCTCAACCCTATATCATTGATATCTGGGACCAGATAGTTGGTTCTTTGTTGTGGGGGGCTGTCCCGTGCACGGCGGGATGTTTAGCCTCATCCCTGGCCTCCACACACTGGGTGCAGTTAGCATCCCCGCGCACCAAGCAGTGACAGCCAAAAATGTCTCCAGACGTGTCAAATGTTTCTCAGAGGGCAAATCACCCCAGGGAGAGAACCACTGATCCAGAGGCTCTGGTGACTTGATTAGACTCTGATTCAGTTTTTGTATCGGCAAGAATAAGTCATCAGTGGTTCAGAGGATTATTGCATCTTATCAGGAGGCACACGGTCTCTGATTGCTCCACTTCTAGTGATGATGTTAAGATTGATCCATGAGTTCAGGGGTTGTCAATCTAACTCATCAACTTTAAAGCTCCCCAACAACCCTTCTAAAAGTGTTAGCATCTATTGGTGGTTGCAGCTTTGATCCATTATTTCATCAGAGATTGCAAAGCAGTGATTTTTTTTTCCAATTCAACCATTTGCATCTTTTTTTATTGGCTGGGATACTTTTCCAAAGAAGAATTTTCCCCAATTAACTATTTGGTTACCCTGAAATGCTGTCCATACAGAATAAAGTAAGATGGGTCTGATTTTTTCTTTTTATTTACTAATTTTCAGAAAAATTGGTTGGTGCCTGTGGAATAATAATAATAATAATAATAATAATAATAATAATAATAATAATAATAATAATTTGCTCTTTATCCCAGGTTCCTGAGTGACAGGAGTGTCCTTTGCTCATAATAATCTCTTCCAATCACACTGGAGTTTATACTAATGAGGTGACTTAGGGTGGGGCCCCTACATGGCCTCAGGATAGGGCTTGTCTCCAGAAAGACCCAGTGATGAGAAGGGGGACCTTTCAGCCCTGCCCACCAACCTGGGCTGGTGATGGAGCTCTAAAAAACTTTCCAACACTGAGGCTCAGAGAGCTTCTGGGTTGGTGAGCACACAGAAGTGCTGGGAGGGTGTGGAAGCTCTGCTTCCCTTCCTCATCTCTTGCCTGTGCACCCCTGCCACGTGGCTGTTCCTGAGTTGAATTCTTTGTAATAAATGTCAAGAAAGTGTGTTCCCCATTCTGGGGAGTTGTTCTTGTGAATGATCAAATCTGAGGAGAGAATTCTGGGAACCCTCCATTTTCAGCTGACTGGTCAGAGGTACAGGTGGCCCCCGACTTGCAACTGGCACCTGAAGTGGGGGCCTTCTTGCAAGACTGACCCATGTTTTATTCAACTTCCGTAGTTTCATTGATATGATCTGTTATCTCAGGGTCGTTTTAATTAGGAATGCTCTCTTTTCTAATGTGTCATTTCATTCATTTATTGATTTGTTCCTTTATCCATGCCATACCATAAGGAGGTAACATCCCAAATATCTTGGGATACTGCTTGTTAAAAAGTTAATTCCTGGGCCCTGCACAGGGTACATAGAGTCAGAACATTTGGGCACAGTGATGGGTGGACATTTTCAATCAGCTGCCCAGGTTATCCCTGCATACCCCAAAGTTTGAATGTCACTTTTCTAGGGTGCTGGTTCTCACCCAGGAACTTGTTGGAAATGCAGGTTCTCAGGCCTCATCCATGCCGCCTACATCAGGAACTCTGAGGGTGGGCCTGGCACTCTGTATTTTGACAAGACTCCAGGTGATTCTGATGTTTGCTCAAGTGTGAGAGCACTGGGTTAAGGGCAGTCCGAGGCTGCACATTAAGAGAACTCTCAAGGATCTTTTAAAATTCCCGCTGCTCAGGCCCCCGCTCCCAGGGCTCCTGGGTGAAGTGATCTGAGGTGGGGTCTGAGCAGCGGCAAACTCCTCGGGAGACTTCAATGTGCAGCCAGCGACAGAACGGCTGGTCCAGGACAGTGTTTCTCAGGGGTGATCTGCATCCCATGGGATGCTTGGCAAAACCTGGATACATTGTTTTGTTGTAAATGGGGGGTTGCTACTGGCATCTAGTGGGGAGAGATCAGGGAGGCTGCTAAACATCCTACAATGCGCAGGACAGCCCCCCAACACCCGTGGCTAAGACGTCAACAGGGCTGAGGTTGAGACATCCTGGTCTAGGAGAACAGTCATACCCAAGAATCTCATCTCCTAGACTTAGCCAAACAACAACAACAACAACAAAAAAGATCTATATCTGCAGAGTATTTGTTCATTTTCAGAAACAAAAGACATTCCGTAGCTTAATTATCCCTACCCCTATCTTCACGACAGCAAATCCAGATATGCTTATATGCTGTAACATTCATAAAAGGCATCTCCAATACACATGCAGACGCTTGCAGAAAGACGTGTGTACATGCTTGTCCACATGCACGCTGACACTCATATTTACTAAACTACCCACACGCAGTCACACAGCCTCTGGTAACTCACAGGCACACACACACTCACACACTGACAACCCCACTCATTAGTGGCAAGGGTGTCCTAGGGCCACCCAGAATTCTCATGCCCTCCTCATCTCCATTCTCCCTTTGCCTTACCTGAATGGCCTGGGTGTTGACACGGTGGAGATGCCACAGGCCAAGGTCATGGCTGCACAGTCCTTGAGGTGCTAACCAACCAGACGGGGTAGAAGGAGACCCTGTACTGGGCATGGTGTCGGGTGCAGCACGAGGGAACAGTGAGAAGGGACCCCCGGTCCCAGGCACTCCAGGAACCTGAGAGGGACGAGGGCAGGGAGACAAAAGGAGTCAGACTGATGCCCAGAGAGCTCTGGGAGGAGAGACGGAGAAAGGGTGGGCAAGGACATGGGTGGATTTGTGCCAAGGTGCTTGACGGAGCGCACTGCCATCACTGCCTGCTTCGGTTGTCTCCTCAGCCCCTACCCAGATGCAGGTGGAAATATTTGCTAAGGGCCCGCTTGATGTTTCTTTAGACACTTCCACACATGTCTTAAAAGACTGCAGGGGAAAGCATGTGGATTTTTGAATCCCAGGTCTGCCACTTGCTGGCTGTGTGATCACGGGCATGTTGTCTGGGATCCTTGGGTCTCTTAGGTGAAAGGTGAGGATAACAATACCTACTTCAAATGGTTTCATAAAGATTAAGTTGCATGACATGCACACATTTCTTATAAAATGCCTGGCATAGGGCAAGCCCGTAAGAGTACCAGATCCTTTCCCTTACCCTCCATCTATTCCAGCCACTTTGGACTAATTCATATATGTCTATTTCCTAGAATAAAAGCCTAGCCATGCCTTGTTGAATTGGAAAACATTTCCAGAAATATGGTAGCTGAGTTAAAGGATACGATCATTTTAATGCCCTTTCAGATTACTGTCAATTGCTTTTCAAATACTACTTCTGGATATTTTTTCCAATGGCT